GTCGCACAAGCTGGTCTCAAACTCCTAGCCCCAAGTGATTCTCCCACCTCGGCCTCCCAAAGTGCTGGGATTACAGGCACGAGCCATTGCACTCAGTCTTTAATTCTTCTTAAGATTTGAATCATCATAAGTTAGAAACTGTGCGTCATAGTAAGTATTTTGCATCATGACTCTGTATACATATACCTACTTACATACAAATAAATGTTTCTTTTTTTTTTTTTTTTTTTTTGAGACGGTAGTCTCGCTCTGCCGGCCAGGCTGGAGGTGCAGTGGCCGGATCTTCAGCTCACTGCAAGCTCCGCCTCCCGGGTTCACGCCATTCTCCTGCCTCAGCCTCCCGAGTAGCTGGGACTACAGGCGCCCGCCATCTCGCCCGGCTTGTTTTTTTTTTTTGTATTTTTTGTAGAACGGGGTTTCACCGTGTTCGCCAGGATGGTCTTGATCTCCTGACCTCGTGATCCACCCGTCTCGGCCTCCCAAAGTGCTGGGATTACAGGCTTGAGCCACCGCGCCCGGCCAATGTTTCAAGTACAATACTTGTCCTTACTACATGTAATATATTGTGATATTTTCTTTGTTAATTCATTTTTTAAAGATGCTGGTCACAACCAACTAAATTGATTTCCTAACCTGCAGTGTGAAAAGTGCTTATTTAGATAACCAATCATTCTTAAGCTTTCTTTAGGCACAGTATGCTTCCAAATACTAAAATTTGGGGCAAAGTATTAGAAAGGATTAAAAGACCTTACAATAATCAATGATCATTACAACACAATCATTATTAGAAGTTTGTGTCCTGTAGCATCTATAAAAGCTTTCTTTACTCACTACACTATTTCCTAGCTAGCTGTTCAGCAGCAGGTGGCTGTTTAAGGGACTTATCATTGCCCTGACCATTCTCTTATAAGGTAAAGTTGTCAAATGTTCTAGAAGCACCTGATAGCTCTTCAGCATAGGTTGATATGATCCTCCAACTTGAACATGGGGCTCCACTCTACCCTTGTCACAAAACCTAAGTGCCCACTGCCACATAACTTATGATGAGCATACAACAGCCTAGTGTACTTCCCATTTGCAACAATAAACTGCACACATGGTCATTAGGTGCCAGCTCCCCGCAGAGGGGCTCATGGTAGACTGGAGTGCTCAGTACACCACTAAGAACTTCAGCATCAACACACTGCTTATGAGCTCATAAGACATAACTGGAATATAGTGGACAGTTTCAGACCACGTTCTTTTAAAGCCACTTTCCAGAAAGACTGTCAACATTCCAACGATGTTGATATATTACTTCTCCCTTTTTTCTAGTCACTTGGCAAGAAAAAGTTAGGTAACTTACATTACTATAGAAATTGTCATACCAGTATTTCCAAAAACAGTGCTCATACTTCAACGTGGGCCTCGGTAATTTAATAGCTCATCCTGTTTCCAAAATGGCCTGTTTTTTGTTTTTTGTTGTTGTTGTTTTGTTTTGTTTCTTAGCTATCTTTGTAAAAGAATTGAAATGCAAATATACTCTCACCCACATGCCCATTTCACTTGCAGCAGTCCCGCTGCCCAGACACAGCCTGTCAGAAGTCAGGGTCTGAGTGCCCACTGCCGAGAGAAAAGCACAGCCCAGCACCCAGCCCACGAGGCCCAGTCCCCACGGTTCGTGAAGAGGAGCTCTCGATCACGTGAGAAACCTGGGATGCACTGCACAGTGACTCGGCTCCCTGAGTGAGCTGTGTTTATTTGCTGTTATCCATGCCACAGTCTCCCGGCAAGGGTGGGGTGGAGTAAGGGTGTTCTAGGCAACACAGGGCTAGTTGGTTGTTTTTGGATGGAAAGTCCTGCCTTTGCTACAGTATGACTTCAGGCAAGCCACTTAACTGTCCTAAAACCTACTTTCCTTATCTGTCACCTAGCTGATGGCCTCAGAGAGATCTTTCAAAAATAGAATAAACATGCTTTTAAAGGGATATAGCACTATTGAAACAAGGTACCACCATTGGTAGCCAATCCACATGCTGCTATCAAGTACCTTCTTTGTATGAGGCAATATCCTCTCTCTAAGGTGGTTCAGTTGGAAAGGGGAAATAAAACTCACAAAATAATAATACAGGATAATTACAGGACAAGTTCCACAATTCATGATTGATTGCTATATAAGAAGTCTAGATTTCCTATGACTAGATTATGACTGTGGGCTTGAGAAGCTATGTGGGAAGGGCCTGCACCTGGATAGGCAGATTGGGATGAGCAGGTAGGATATGGAAGAGAACATGTGCAAAGGCACAGAGGTGGGAAAAGCACGACCAGAAGTCCAATTTGGCTACGGAAAAGTTGGGAATGGACCACAGTCAGCCCTTCGCATCCACGGGCCACACGTCCACAGGTTCAACCAATCACAGATAGAGAATATTTGAAACAACAACAACAATAAAAAGAATACAAATAAAAATCACAGCACGACAACCATTTACAAAGCGTTCACATTGTAGGTATTATAAGTAGTCTAGAGATGGTTTAACATGTGCAGGAAGATGTGTGTAGGTGAAATGCCGATTCTATGGCATTTTATATCAGACACTTGGACATCTGTGTTGGTATCCGAGGGAGGCCCTGAAACCAATCCCCCCAGATACCAAGAGGGGACTGTAACAGGCAGCAGGGCCCACTGAAATGAAGTGCCTTCCAGGTACACTGCCCCTGCTGAGAAGCCAGCCATGCCCACACCTCCTTCTGATCCATCTTTGTGCCACACGGCCCCACAGTCCCACCATCCTTGTTATTTATGGCTGATTGCCGCAGACTTGGGCAACAAAGGAAACCACACGTAGCCTGTCACCGGGTAGCTGCTGCCTACGCAGGAAAGCCCTGGGCCACAGGACAGTGACTCACTGAGCCAATCGTATCTTCTCCCTGAGTGGGTGACATAGGAAAGTGCCCTGGCAACAGACACACACAGGGAGGGCAGCAAGTGGAAGCCTGGAGGTAGCTGAAGCCATGATCTAGAAGGAGCCTAGAGGGAGTAAGTGGGGAGAAAATTCTTTCCCTAACAGCGGACACAACACAGCTGCGTCTCCAGAATGGTGGAGCCCAGGGGGCGGAGCTCATGACGCCAGCGGCTGAGGGGTCACTTGGGACTCCCAGCTCCTGACTGGCTCTCTGGGAGGCTTTGAGCAGTATCTTGTTTCCTGGCTTCTTTCTCGTCTGTACACTCTTCCCTTAAGCTCCTTTGCTAACGAGAGCAAGGGCTCGCAATCCTAGCTATTATCAGACTCACCTGTGGAACTCTGAACACAGATTCTCAGCCTCATCCCAGAGCTTCTGAATCAGAATTCCTAGGGCTGGGGCCGGGAAGGTGTTTCTGGTTTTTGGGGGTTTTTAACTCCACGGCTGATTTCAATGCTCTACCACCATCGAGAACTGAATTAAGGCAACCTGAACATGCACTTCTGCTTCCTACAACCTGAGACAGTTTAATGAGCCGACTGTGAAGCTCAATGATTAAAAGAAAATGCTTAATTTTTTTCCTTATTGTTTTAAAACACATATACAAAATTATATTTACCTGGAAAAACCAAATTTCACATCGACCTAGCACACCCAATTCTTTCAAACAACTCCTGAGTTCCAGTTCCTGCTTAGTGGCATAGTGTTACAACACTTAAGAGCTTCCAGAGCACGTCAGCCACCTTCTGAGGACTTGCTATGTGGCCGGCACTGTGTTTAGGCTCTTTGTACACATCTGCTCATTTATCACCCTGCAAGCTGGACATTAATTATCCTCATCTTGGAGATGATAACATATCATTTCGGAGCGGCTGAGAATCTGTGTTTTTAAAAGTTCCACAAGTGAGTCTGCTATGCAGCTAGGATTGGGAGCCTCTGCTCTGGTTGGTGAAGGAGTGTAAAGGAAAGGTGTCTAAGCTTTCTCAGGTTGCGGAGAAGTTGAACTCAAACTTTAAAAACTCAGCACCTATGGCTTCTGAGTGACCTTGAGCCTTTCCACATGGCCTCCTGGATCCAGTATGGTGGCTGGGCAGTGATGGGTACATCTCCTCTATTTGGGAAAAAGGATTATTAAAAACACTCATTTACTGACCCAAATCATTGTTTTTAGAATTAACCCAGGATGAAAAAAAAATTATTCTAAAATTATAAAAAATTTTTAAATGTAAAAAATGATCCTGGCCAGGCAAGGTGGTTCCCACCAGTAATCCCAGCACTTCGGGAGGCTGAGGTGGGAGCATCGCTTGAGCCCAGGAGTTTGACACCAGCCTGGGTAACATAGTAAGACCTCATCTCTACAAAAAAAATTTTTTTTTAATTATCTGGGCATGGTGGCGTGTGTCTGTAGTCCCAGCTACTTGAGAGGCAGAGGCAGGAGGATCACTTGAGCCCAGGAGTTTAGGGCTGCAGACAGCAGTGACCGCACCACTGCATTCCATCCTGGGTGACAGAGCAACAAGCATAGAAAGAAACAATCTTCTTTCCTTTGATTTGTATCAGTGATTTCCTTCCTTTCAAGGATATAAACCCCATTGTAATGCCAAATAGTCTCACAGGCCCTCACCCACATGACAATTAACGTAGCTAATTAAAACGTACAGCTTCATTTAAAAGCATGACTTAATTGAGTAGCTTTTAGCCATTTTTAGCCCTATTTTCTCAATTACAACAGTGTCTATATGCTTTTGAACAAGAGAAATACATTTATGCTGAGGTCTTATATTTATGCACTTTAGAGAAAATGCAACAACAAAAAAAAAAAGCCACAGAAGAAATCATGATTGTATCTAATGAGTTGAAAGTCCTTCTGTCCCCATCGTAAATAGCATTCAGCCTCTTCAGATAGTTCCAAATTATAGTAATCTTTAACATACTCTTGTTGCTTATAGAAATATAGTCACCCAAATGCATACTACTATTTATCTGAACAGGTCACAGAAAAAAACTATCTCACACTCTGATAAAACTCACAGACTCACCATAGTCAAGAGCCTTACCTAAAAATGATGAGAGCAGGAGTAAGAGTGTGTTGGTGTCTTCATTTCCAAAACATGACGAAGCATTAGTGATGTTTTCACTGAAGTTCCATAAAGTTTTACAAACCAAGGAGGCCAGTTGCCAATCAGTAGGACCAAAATCTCTTAAACAATCCACTAACCTAGTAAAGTTCAAATTGAGAAGTTATTAGGTCAGAGTCTGTCTTTAATATTGTTAGCATGATTATTCTTCTGTGATACGTAAGTATAATCCAGAGATCACTTAAAATAATTCCTTATTTATAAAATTAAGTGGTTACAAAGTAGCAATAATCTACTTCTGCACCTTTTTTTTTTTTTTTTTTTTGAGACAGAGTCTCACTCTGTTGCCCAGGCTGAAGTGCAGTGGCATGATCTCGGCTCGCTGCAACCTCGGCTCACTGCAACCTCCACTCACTGCAACCTCCGCCTCCCGGATTCAAGCAATTCTCCTGCCTCAGCCTCCCAAGTAGCTGGGATTACAGGCATGCGCTACCACGCCCAGCTAATTTTTGTCTTTTTAGTAGAGATGGGATTTCACCATGTTGGCCAGGCTGCTCTCGAACTCCCAGCCTCAAGTGATTCGCCCACCTTGGCCTCCCAAAATGCTGGGATTACAGGCGTGAGCCACCGTGCCCGGCCTATTTCTGCACCATTTTAAGTATCCAGTGGAATCTAAACTCCCTCTTCAGCCTCAGCTTAGGGGCTTCCCAATGTTGAAATCCCTTTGCCCCACAGGAATGATGAGAGGACCCAAGCTCCCGAGAACACGATGTCCTTCAAATCCCGAGTCAGTACCCTACACCTGGAAACTTACTTCTTAATGCCACCTCCTTCTTTCAGGATGACACGCTTGTCTTTATCCACAGTGAGATTGAGGAGAACACCACAGGCAGAAAAGCAGATATCCTGATGCTGAGCATCCAGCAGCGCCATCATGAACCTGTGGACTACGAGGGAAGAGCGCAAACGCAGCCCAGTAAAAGCCCAGGGTTCCCAGCTGTCTCTTGTTTTACAGATGGTACAGGGGAAATGGGGAGTGGTTTGTAAACCCAGAATCCCTGTTAAGGGACTTAACTCATTCTTCCTAAGGCTTTATCCATCACCCGGCAGTGGGTTCCCCAATACCCACCACTCCCAGAGCCGGCTCCCCCAATCCCCAGATACTGCAACACCTGACCCAGGCAGCAGCTGCTTCTCCACGGCAGTGAGAGTCCCTGCTGGTGGACACGAGGGAGCACAGGTGACACTCATCTAACTGCCAGTTGTTCTCAAGGGTTTTCCTGAACCTTCAGTAGCAACTGTCTTTAAATACACAGTCCTGGAGCAGGGAGCTGGCTCCCGGTGGGATCATTCCTGAAGTCTCCCAGGGCCACGTGTAAGACTCAGACTGTTGAAAACCAACCTGTGGCAAGGCAGGCCTTCCAGTGTAGGGCCATCTCAGGGCAGCACAGGCTCCCACCTCTGGGGAACCAGTTTCCCTTACTCCTAGGAAATGCAACTGGGAACCGATTGTCCCGTTTTCTCATCCCTCAGCAGATGCTGAGCAAAGGGTTGGGGAAGAGTGGGTAAAGTGTGCCTTCTGCCTCCTCCCATGGGGCATGCACCTGAGAGGGGCTGCCCTGTTCCAGCCCCGGCCCTGTCGACTGGGTTGGGCAGTGAGCTTGGCAGAGGCAACATCACATACATATGTGCTCTTAAGAGGCTAAAGAGTGCCCAGCAAAATGTGCAGTTATCTGTAGGTAGTGAGAGCTGGAGCATGGTTTGCTGCTGCTGCTTTTTATATCTGTATTATTGAAATTTTCCATTACGAACATGGAAGTTATGTTTTTAAAATTATTATTGTTACATGAAATATTTGAGACATACAAAGAGTCAAAGTATACTAATATTTGAGACATACAAAAATATTTGAGACATACAAAGGGTATAAACATGTGGATACTTGCCACTCAGTTTAAGAAATAAAACATTACATTCCAAACAACATGTAACATAATAAATATAAACAATTCTTATTTGTTGATAATAAATAACACTATAGGTCTAATGATAATCTTTGGACATCCCTTTCCTTCCAAAGGTGAATGCGGTCTTTTTTTAATTTTTAATCTTTATCTTTCAGAGGTAGGTTCTCACTCTGTCTCCGAGCCAGGAGGGCAGTGGCACAATCATGGCTCACTGCAGCCTCGAACTTCTGGGCTCAGCTGATCCTCCTGCCTCAGCCTCCCAAGTAGCTGGGACTACAGGCATGTGCCTGTCTGGCTAATTTTTAATTTTTGTAGAGACAGTGTCTCACTATGTTACCCAGGTTTATCTCAAACTCGTGCCCTCAAGCAATCCTCCCACCTTAGCCTCCCAAGGTGCTGGTATTATAGGGTTGAACCACTGGACCCAGCCTGAACCCTGTCTTAAATTGGAGTTTACTATTTCCAATTACTATTTATACTGTATAGCATCACTACATGAATACCTATGCAGAAGCAATACCCAAGATAGTTTTGTATGTTTTAAAACTTATATTCATGGCATTCCTCTGTATATATCCTCCTATTGCTTTTGAATGCTAGAGAACATTTTATTGCGTGAATATACCATAATGAATTTGTCCTCTTGTCTGTTGAGGGACATTTAGGTTGTTTCTACTTTTTGCTATTATAAGCAAAATGTAATAGACATTCTAGTACATAAAAGAGAATGTCTTCTTGAGAATATGCCCCCAGACAGAAGTGATGACTCAAGATTCACTGTTTCTGTTAGACATACACACACCCCATCTTGGTGCACAGAAGGCCATTCACAAGGGAGAGGGGAACACTGCCTAGGTCCATCTTGGCATCCTGAGCCAGGAGCCTCAAACACGGAGCTCTACAAATCTCAAAGCAGAAACAAGTACAACACTGTAATGACTCAAGCTCCAAAACCACTCCGCTGATTATTGGCAAGAAGTGAATGTTTATGAATTCTAGTGTCATTAACTCACCATTGTTCTGCACAATGAAATCGCAGACATCACGGTCCTGGGAGAGATTTCCGAAAACACGCACAGCCTCCAGGATTCCATCCATGTTGTTACTGACAAGAAGCTTTAAGAGCACTGGATTTGGCGACCAGAGAAATTAAATCAGTGAATTTAAGTTTTAACTTAAAGGTTAATGGAAATCAACATCATACTAAATACTGATAATTTTAAAATTATAATAAAATACAAACTGTAAGGGACTTTAGCAAGAACTAAGAAACTAATTTTTCCCATTTCTAGTTTCCCCATATTCTAATTTCTTAGAATCATCAGGTTCTAAGTAAGACATTTTTGTACCAAAAGGCAGAAGATAGTAATGTCTCCAGCTCTGTGTTTAGTTAATAAAATCGAAACCTCAAATGAGCACTCATTTATCCACATCCGACTCTGAACCTTACATTCAGCAATATATAGCTTTTTGTCTTGAATTATGGAATTCTTCACTTGGTAGTAAGATAAATTGTTGATTGTCGCTGTAGCATTGATCACCAGCTCCTCACAATCATCAAGTGACTTGTATTCTGAAATGAAGTGAGGATAAGGGAGTCAAAGACCCATTGCAGGAGTAGAACCAAGCACGTTGTAACTACAGCAACAGCAGGGCCAGGAGCAGGCTGCTGTCACGGCAGGGTCCCTACAAAGGCCCTGGAGAGGCAGCTTTACCACTTGATTTCCCCCGACTCCTCCTGCATGGAAATGCCCCAAATACAAGGGCCAGCTCCTGGCCAGAGCGGAGAGGATACTGTCAACTCAATCCTTGCAGCCAGGAGGTTTGGAAAAGCCCGGCTGATCTGGGCTCTGTGTCTGAAGTAAAGCAAAGGGGCCAACATGGCAGTGAGCGGAGCCATCTCTATTCCCGCCTGTTTGCTGGGTTCTCAGGCTCTCCCAGGGGCTCCTCCCTGGAGTCTTTGCCCTACTTCGCACACCGCCTCCTAACAGAATGGCCCTGGGGTCATGATCTGTCCGTGACTATGAACTCTAGAAGACACCTCTGGCCTCCTCTACCACCCCCTAATTCATCTCTCAGCACTTGCCGGCTTCCCTTCTTCCACTTTTGCCTCCCTAAATCTATTCTCAACACAGTTATCCTTTAAAAGCAAGTCAGTTAATGCCACCCACCTCATAACCCAAGAATAGTCCACGTTGTCTGGTCCACAAGACCTACCTGGCAGCTCCAGGCCTTACCTCTCTGGCCTCATTTGCTCCTCCTACTCCCAGACCACCAGGGTCAACCACAGCAGCCTCCTGGCCTCCTGGAATATGCCAGCATGCCCCTGCCTGAGAACCCGTGTACTGCTGAACTTTCTTCTGGAACATACTCTCCTCCCAGTTAGCCACTTGGCTCACTCCTTACGTCCTCCAAGCAGTCGCTTAGAGGCCGCCTTGTTGGACATACTTTCCGTAACCTCCCTATTTAAAATAGCACCTGTTCTCTTTTCTCTTACCCTGCTTTAATTTTCTCCATAGCACATACGACCACCTGATGTTACATATGTGTTTAATGTTTGTCTTTCAGCCCTAAAATGTCAGCTCCCTGAGGCCTAGGGATGTATCTGTTTCATTCATGGCTGCATTCCCAGCTTCTAGAACAGTGCCTGGCACATAGTGAGTGCTGGATGCAAGAATAATTGATCCTCTAGCTTAGCACATAAGGCCCTTAGTGGTTTTTGTCTCTGCCTCCCACTCAGTCTCCAGACTCATCTGTTGACGTTTCTGGCCACAGTGTGGGGAAGAGCAGATGCAGGGCTGCAGCTGGGAGTGGTCCCAGTGACCTCAACATAGCACGGACATGGGCAATGGCAGAGATGTGGCAGAGTGGAGACTGTGCTTGGCAGAGACTGGATGGGGTGTGAGGGAGAGGAATCACCTGGGTGCACATAACTGGGTAGATGCGTGAATTAAGGGCACAGGAGGAGGCCGAGTTCAGGGACAGGTCATGAGTTCAGCTTCAGATATGCTTCTGAAGCACCCCCAGGAGAGGAGGGGTAGGCAGTTGGATATGAGTTGGGCAATCAGACTGGCTGAGCAACACTGCAAAACCCCGTCTTTACAAAAAATACAAAAAATTAGCCGGGCGTGGTGGCACGCGCTTGTAATCCCAGCACTTTGGGAGGCCGAGGTGGGCGGATCACTTGAGGTCAGGAGTATGAGACCAGCCTGGCCACATGGTGAAATGCCGTCTCCACTAAAAAGACAACAATTAGCCCGGTGTGATGGCACAAGCCTGTAATCCCAGCTACTTGGGAGGCTGAGGCAGAAGAATTGCTTGAACCTGGGAGGCAGAGGTTGCAGTGAGCCAAGATTGCACCACTGCACTGCAGGCTGAGTGACAGAGGGAGGCCCCATCTCCTGTATGAAACCGAAGTTTTTCCTCGGGGAGCAAGCAGGGCGGCTATGAGCTGAGGAAGAGGACTGTGCTTGTTCTTAAATTCTCTGACTTAAGTACCGCCCCCTTGGGCCATCTTTTCCTGTTCATTAAAGAGAACAGCCGTTTTACAAATTACGATGTTGAAAGGAACGCTCAGTCATTTGTAGGCTGCAGAAGACGTAGACTGTTCCTTCCACCAGTGGCCCCTCCCGCTAGAGCAGCCAGCAGAGGCCCAGTACCTGGTAGACACTTAATGGATACTTAGAAAAAGAATAAAGAAAGACCTGACTTCCTGTGTTTTAGTTTAAGTACATAAAAAGGGAATAAGGAACTGAATTATTTTGGTTATCAATATGGATTCTACTGTAAGGAAATATCCTAGTTATGGTAAAAGAAGGGACACAGGACCTCCAAAATTCTTCCCTCTTGCTTTGGCCATGACTCTGAAGCCAGAACCCTGTGCTTCCACTCACTGGCTGTGTGACCTTACTCAAGTTATTTAACCTCCCTGAGCCTCAATTTCCTTGACTGTAAAGTGAGCATGATCATTGCACCTAGAGTTGTTACAAAGTTTAAATGCATTCAACGGTTTAAATGAATGCGTGGCACATAGTGGGTGCTAAGTAAGTGCTTATTAAATGAACAGATGGGCCATGCAGAATGACCGCTCATGGGGGCGGCTCAGGTGAATGTCTAACTCTTGGGCAAAGGATCTACAGCCCTGGTTTCCTCCAGCCCCAGACTGATGGCACTAGGTCTTGGGCAGTGTTTGGGGATCTGTTTTATTTCTCTTGCCTTGGTAGGAGAATTCGTTAGCTTGTCCAGAACATGCAGGGTAGCTCTTAGGTGTCTAACCTCCCAAAGGACCACACGTTTGATTAGCAGGAGTGGTGTCCGGTACCTGGAACTAGAGGGTAGGTCCTCACAGCTGCTAAGCATTTATCATGAACAGCACCAGGCACTTTACATGCATGTAACCCCCAAAAGTCAGCTACTAATAAGTTTTACATGCACTTACAAGAATTCACACCCACAATAATTCATTCTCGAAAGGTGCATCTGTCTCAGTTACCTTGGCCTGTCATAATAAAATACCATAAACTGGGTGGCTTGAGCCAACAGAAATTTATTTTCTCACAGTTACGGAGGCTGGAAGTCCAAGACCAGGGAGCCTGCGCGGTCGGGCTCTGGTGTCTCTTCTTATAACGGCCCTAACTCCAGCATGAGGGCCCCACATCGTGGCCTTATCTAAACCTAATTATCTCCCAAAGGCCCCATCTCCAAATACCATCACATGGGGGTTAGGACTTCAAAGATGAATGTAGGGGTCAGATGAGAACACTGAGGTTTAGAGAAGTTCAATACCTCGCCTGACTTCACAGAGCACACATCTGAATCCAGGTCTATTTGACCCTACTAGCCTACTCTTTCCACAGAACCCTGCTGAAGTCAAGGACGCAGTGTTGCTGAGTTCCCATTGGAGCTAGTTGGGGCAATAGACTGCTTCCAAAAAAGCATGACAGAACCATCCTACCCTCTATAATTGACTCACGGATACAAGAAAATCTGGAATTTGGACTTGCCACTAAGTCAGCAAATCTCTGAGTCTGGCGGCATACTGAGAGGGTCAGTTCTTACTAGAAACATTATTGATTTTTAAAAGACCCTCTGCAATGAGGCTGACCTCTCTAGGCAAGTCCTGGGGTACAAGCAACTCCCTGTGAAGGGTGCAGGGCTAGAGGGAGGTAGGAAGAAAAAAACCCAAGGGATGCCCTTCCCACGTGACTAGGCAAGGGGGCCATGCCACAAGAGCCATCAGGCTGGGAGGAGTGCTCAGCTCTGAGGGTAAACAGGACAGCAGCAACTCTGACTTCAGTCAGCACAACCAAGCCCTGCGTAGGCCCTTTCGATAGTCACAGTCACAGCCCAGCACTGGCCCTGCGTTGCTCTAAGCTGCCAGGCCTGTCGGACGGGGCAGGAGGCCGTTCCTGGAATGTGATCACCACTCCACACCGATGCAGATGAAACAGGTAGGAAATCCCCAGAGACCAGTGTAGAAAGGGCTTAGCAGGGCTCAGAAACTCACCCAGGAGTCGAGTCATGTAAGGGGAAGGTAGAAGGGGGTGACCCCCTGTCAGCGGTGACTTTTGCTCTTCTATAAACTTTTATTTGGAGATAAAAATCTTTCAGGAGAGAATAGAGAAGGGATCACCTGCTTGTCCAAACAACTGCCTAAGGCATAGGAGGCAAGAGGCCTGAGCCATCACGGGAGAGCAGGGTTTCTTCACTTCTGCTCAACCTCATATGGTACCAGGCTCTAATACAGAGACTAAAACATTTCTCACAGGGAGGCCCTTGACCACCTGTATCAGGAGCAGCCAGGGAGCTTTAGAGAGAGTCTCACTCTGTCGTCCATGCTGGAGTGCAGCGGTATGATCTTGGCTCACTACAACCTCCACCTCCTGGGTTCAAAAGATCTTCCTGCCTCAGCCTCCTGAGTAGCTAGGACTATAGGCGCCCACCACCATGCTTGGCTAATTTTTGTATTTTTGGTAGAGACGGGGTTTTGCCACGTTGGCCAGGCTGGTCTTGAACTCCTGGCCTCAAGTGATCCACTCGCCTCGGCCTCCCAAAGTGCTGGGATTACAGGCATGAGCCACCGCTACCAGCCTTTTTTTTTTTTAGACGGAGTTCTCGCACTGTCGCCGGGGCTGGAGTGCAGTGGCACAATCTCAGCTCATTGCAATCTCTGCCTCCCAGGTTCAAGCGATTCTCCTTGCCTCAGCCTCCCAAGTAGCTGGGATTACACAGGCACCTGCCACCACGCCTGGTTAATTTTTTTGTATTTTTAGCAGAGACGGGGTTTCACTATGTTGGCAAGGCTGATCTCGAACTCCTGACCTCATGATAACACCTGCCTTGGCCTCCCAAAGTGCTGGGATGACAGGTGTGAGCCACCACGCCTGGACCTTTTTTTTTTTTTGAGAAAGGGTCTCACTCTGTTGCCCAGGCTGGAGTGCAGCAGTGCGATCATGGCTCACTGCAGCCTTGACTTCCTGGGCTCAGGTAATTCTCCCACCTCAGCCTCCTGAGCAGCTGAGATCACAGGCGTGTGCCACCACACTCAGCTAATTTTTTTTTTTCTTTTAACAGAGACAGGGTTTTGCCATGTTGCCCAGTCTGGTCTAGAACCCCTGGCCTCAAGCAATCTGCCTGCCTTGGCTTCCCAAAGTGCTGGGATTATAGGCGTGAGCCACCATGCCCAGCCTCTTGCCTCTTTCTCCTACCCCAAAGCATCACTTTCTTTTGAGTCAAAAGCAAGTTATTCACTCTTCCTTTATAGGTAGAAATGTAATTTCTAAGCTCATAAAATATTTATAAGATGAGGAGTTTTTTCACTTTATATGTGAATATTAACAATTGTGGGATCATGAATCATGCATAACTCTACTCCTTGGCTGTTCACAGCCGTGCGCCCTCAGTCTAGGTGTTCGAGGTCTGGTCCTCAGGCCCTTCCTGGGCAGCCACAGTCAGGCAAAAGCATTAATTCGGCAACAGACGAGAACTTGCCCAGTGGGTTTCAGGCTTCTGCTAGATTCTGAGGAGCCAGAAAAGCCAGCGTAGTTCCCTGAAGCACTGGGTCTCAACACTTAATGGACAAAAGACTCACCTGGGGGCAGAGGAGGCATTAAAAGGCAGATTTCAAGACTCTAATGACATTTTATAGAGGCAGTTTCTGGGCAAGGGCCAGAAACCAAAAAGGGTATTTTAATGAGTCCCACAGCTGATTCTGCAGCAGTCACATCCCTGGTCCTGGGCTGAGAAGCCCTGCTCAGTGTGGTGAGTGGATCCAGGAAGGGGAGAGGAGCTTCAGCAGACACGGGCATGCTACAGAGCAAATGCTGAACATTTTGAGGTTGGAACAGAAACTGAATTTCTCTCACTGTTATGTGCATATTCTTCCATGCGGCTTAATGTGCAGTCAGCAGCTTGGCAAAGAGTTCAAGCCGAAACACAGAGATTGCTGAGTTATCTACACGGAAGTGGTAAGTCATGGTGCAGATCCCAGTCAGAATTGAAGAGTCCTTTCTCTAGACGGGTGACATGTGATGTGGCGTGCGGGGAAGCACAGGTCAGGGGCCCAGCGACTTTGCCACTTGCTCACTTTGTGACCTGTGAAAGTCACTATATCTCGCGGAGCCTGTTTCCTCATCTGTGAAATGATGAAAATAACAAAAACGTGCCCTGACATTGTTGTGAGCTAACAGATATGAAAATGCGTTTTCAACCGTAAAGCTCCATCGTGAAGCACGGCCTTGTCACTCACACGCCCACAGCCGGGCTCTGCCACCCGTCCCTTAGCTGTGTGCGCCTCGCTTCTGCCCTTCTCAGAAACTGTGGTTCTTGTCTGTGCACCCGATGTCCCTCTACCATATACACTGAGTTCCTTGAAAGCACATGCCAGCCTCCATTTTTAAAACCTTGTTCTAAACTGAATGTTGGTGTCCCCCAGAATGCACATGTAGAAGCCCTATCCCCTCAATGTGACTGTATTTGGAGCTAGGTCCTATGGGGAAGTGATAAAGGTTAAACGAGGTCAGAAGGGTGGGGCCCTTATCCAGTAGAGCTGGTACCCTTACAAGAAGTAGAAGGGACCCCAGAGTGTGCTCTCTTCAGCACATGAGGACCCAGTGAGAGGGCAATCAACCACAGGCCAGGAAGGGAAGCCCACACCAGACCCTGACCCTGTTGGCATCTTGGTCTCGGACTTCCAGTTTCCAGAACTGTGAGAAAATACATGTCTGTTGAAGCTCCCCAGTTCATGAGATTTTGTTATGGCAGTCTGAGCAGAATAAACAAAACTGAATGCATAGCACAGAACTCATTACCCAGAAAGAGCTCAGGAAATGGCTCTTGAGTTGAATAGTGGAGGCGAGGGGGAGCTGGGAGTTCACAGTTTGCTCCTCCAAAACATCATTTGTGTCAGGCATTAAGCTTCCTTCCAAAACAACAACATTTTTCACAAATATGGTTAGTAGTACTTAATTTTCTTTTTTTTGGAGACAGAGTCTCACTGTGTCACCTAGGTTGGAGTGCAGTGGCACGATCTCAGCCTACTGCAGCCTCTGCCTCCTGATTTCAAACGATTCTTCTGCCTCAGCCTCCTGAGTAGCTGGGATTATACGTGCACACCACCATGCCCAGCTAATTTTTGTATTCTAGTAGAGAAGGGGGTTTCACCATGTTGGCCAGGCTGGTCTCAAACTCCTGACCTTGTGATCCACCCACCTCAGCCTCTCAAAGTGCTGGGATTACAGGCCTGAGCCAGCAGGCCCAGCTAGTAGTGGCAAAATTGATTACCTTGGGTTGCAGTTAATTTCCCTACACACTAGCAGGCAGAAGTGCCTGTGGGAGATGACAGGCCTAAAAAGTGTAGGGGTTGCCATGGACTGAATTGTGTGCCCAACAAAATTCATATGTTGAAGCCCTACTCCCAATATGCTTGTATTTGGAGATAGGGCTTTGAAGAGATATAGCAGGTTACAGAGCCCATAAGGGTACGGTCCTAATATGATAGGATTGGTGACTTTATAAAAAGAGGAAGGGGAGAGAAAGTCTGTCGCCTACTCCACAAGTGCTTGCACCAAGGAATAGCCTTGTGAGCACACAGTGAGTAGGTGGCTGTCTGCAGGCCAGGAGGAAGAGCCCTCACCAGGAGCTGAACTGTCTGGCACCTTACTCTTGAATTTCTCTGCCTCCAGAAGCATGAGAAATAAATTTCTGACAAAGTTGCCCCATCTGTGGTATTTTGTTATGGCAATCTGCACAAATACAAGGGGAATTAATAGGACTTGAATGACTGGGGACTGTAATTACAAATAATGTAAGAACCTGAAGAGGAAAAAAAAAGGAATTAATTTTAATTATGTGGATTGCCCACAATATTTGGGATGTGGGATTTTAAACTCAAATATTTGGAATTTTAAACTCTTTGTGGTCAGTTTAGCCAAGTTTTCTCCATTTGCTAAGTATAATTTTTAAAAAATTGCAATGTAATTCACAAACCATAAAATTCACCCTTTTAAAGTGTACAATTTGGTGGGTTTTAGTAATAATCTCTATTACTATGTTTTCTTTTCCTTTTCTAAAAATCTGGATTACTTTTAAGACAGTTCTGAACAGAAGAGGGAATTTCCTTCATACAGCTAAGACTTTTGCATAGGGAGCCACTTGTGCTAATAAAATCCTTATCACACCCCAGACACAGAACTGTCTTTGGGCTGCGGGAAAGTTGGTTGTGCCTGCTGCAGCCAGTGGGCCGCGGTTCTCACCCAGCGTGGTCAGGAGCAGGCCCACTATCCCCGGGTTGGCAGCCAGTACCGGGCCCACGCCCGGGTGGATGGCAATGTTGGCCAGCACGCGGGTCAGCTTGATGAGCACATCCTCTGCCTCTGACGGCGGCCTCTGCGCCCTGTGCTGCTCGCCTCGTTGGCCCGCCGGCTTCTGGGAATGCAGGTCCAGCTGATGGAACATCTGGAATAATGACAGCAGAGTTTGGATGCTCCCTTTCTCTTTGGAAAATTGTTCACGAGCCTGGTTATTTTTCGCCGTCAGGTTACCAAGAATAAAAACAACACGGACGACTAAATCCTGCAATAAACAAAAGACAGAGTCACAAGTGCAAAGGGGGCTGGAACGCATTGTGGGGCAGAAGATAGTATTTAATTTATTCACAATTGCATTAATAGTAAAATGGAACACATCTGGCTTCGACTCACTTGTACAGTATTTGATTCCCAAGAGCAGTGCAAAGTGACAGAGGAGATTATAAGCACCTGGCAGCAATGAAAGAATACAAACTGATTGATGCTACCAGCAACGCCTCTTACCTTCAGATCCTTCATCTGAAATTCTGGCTCGCCTTTCTTTTTCTCCTTCAGAGAGCAATTAGTTGAGTGGGACAGCATTACTAAAAATGTGTCATGGAAATCTAAGTTTTGACAATAGCCGGTTTCTTGAAATTCCAAATCTTTCCTTAAAATTTCATCTCCTGCTGAAGCATGGTGTTTTTGAATTTGGGCAGGATTGACACTTGGGACTGGATAATTCTTTGTTGTGGGGAGGTGTCCTGTGCATTGTAGAGCATTTAGCAGCATCCCTGGCCTCCACCCACTAGATGACAATACCTCTCCAGACGTGACAGCCAAAACTGCCCCTCCACAGCATGGAGAAGTGCCGCGTTACATAGCTACACTACTTTAAGGCAGTATCTACCAATTCTTGCCCAGGGTGGTGGTTACGTGAGTGACACCTTTATAATTACTTGCTGAATTTTGCATACCTGTTTTATGCACTTTTCTGTATATAGGTTATATTTTACAATTTTAAAATGTTTTTACAAACCCTAAGCTGAGAACATTTTAAAATTAAACAAGATACAAAAATCACTGTGCTTTTAGTTTGACAACAATGTCCAGATATGAGTCCAGACCAGCCTTCCCCATGGGTGTCAATGAAGGTGACCTGGGAGGAGGAGATTTTAAATGAATACTCATTGGAGGGCTACAACTGGCCTGGATGGTATTATATCTATATATACAGTGCCAGGCACTGTGCCATTTTATAGACAAGAAACTAGGGCCTGGAGAAGCCGCCCAGGTCACATGGCTGGTGAGGGGTAAGGTCAGGATTTGATTCTAGGGTTACCCAGACTCTAGAGTCCTTTCTACACTAACATCTGCCTCCCACACAGGGTGTCATGTACTTTTTGTCCTCCTTTGCCTTCTTGCAGAACAGTTAAAGAATTATCTCCTTCTAAAATGCAAATATGTCACCAGAAGGGACTATCATAAACCTGACTTTGTTGATCGGGTCAGTAATTAGCAGCAGCCTTAAGAAAAGGGGACAAAGGGGCAAGGGCTGGGCACATTTTCATCGAGGAGCACATGTCCAGGTGCGATGCCAGGGTGTCGGGTGTGGCCAGGAAATTGGGGAAGATTGGGGGCAAAGTACAACTTTTGGATTTACCTAGGCCTTCTCTGCCAATACCAACTTATTCCTGCTTGTTCTTGCTAAAAGAACCAAAAGTTTTCCCTGACACTCACTGCAGAGAAGCAAGGCTGCTGCTTGCACAACTGGACACCATTTGCCGAACATTAAGGACCACGGCTAATGCTACAGCAAAAACTGGAGATGGTCCAGGAGAGAGTTCATTTTCGGAGACATTTCAACTCACAGCATTCAACCAACCACAGTGGTCATCCAGTTAGGAGACCCTGCTCCTGACTCCACCCCAGGAAATAGAATGTTAGTCCTCAGATAAGTTCTTAATGCCAGGGGCCTAGGAATACACACACATAACCAAGTCTGAGAGTCAGTGTTCTGAAGAGCTTCTCACCTACTGAGAAGACAAAGCTAACATACGTGGGGAAACAGCAAAGACTAAAACGGCAAACGAAGAAGCGAGATGCGGAAGCGGATTATGAGTCCCAGGTCCAGAGCCAGGCAGGCTGGGCTCACACAGGTGCTTGGCCTCTCTGTGCATCCATTAACTTATTTGCAAAATGGAGACACAATTTGTACTGTGAGATCACATGAGATACAACAGGCAAAGCACAAATTGTATTGACCAATGATTAGGGCACTGCTGTGAACTCTTTTTATGTCCTAGCAATAAAATGCTAACTAATAGCAATAAACTCGGTGGTGCAGGCCTAGTAGTCTTACAAGAGTTTCGAAAAGAGGATGCTCCGGGAACAGTGTCAGGTTCAGCAGTTATCACGGAAGAATTTGAGTTCAACCCTGGAAGCTGTGAGATGCAGAGAGATGTGGAGGGGAGCATGGGGTTGGGTGGGCAGCAGAAAAGTCTCTCTTTTTTTTTTTTAACTTTTTAGGCTCAGGGGTACATGGGCAGGTTTGTTACATGGGCAATCTTGAGTCATGGGGCTGTGGTATGCAGATTATTTCATCGCCCAGGTACTAAGCTTACTACCCAATAGTTATTTTTCCTGATCCTCTTCCTTCTCCCACCCTCCGCCCTCAAGTAGGCCCCAGTGTCTGTTTTTCCCTTCTTTGTGTCCATGAGTTCTTATCATTTAGCTCCCACTTACAAGTGAGAACTTGTGGTATTTGGTTTTCTGTTCTTGCGTGAGTTTGCTAAGGATAATGGCCTCCTGCTCTATCCATGTTTCTGCAAAGGACATGATCTCATTCTTTTTTTATGGCTGCATGGTATTCCATGATGTATATGTACTACATGGTCTTTATCCAATCCACCACTGATAGACATTTACATTGATTCCGTGTCTTTGCTATTGTGAATAGTGCTACAATGAACACATGTGTGCATGTGTCTTTATGGTAGAACGATTTGTTTATATTCCTTTGGGTATATACCCAATAATGGGATTTTTTTTTGAGACAGAGTGTTGCCCTGTTGCTGGAGTGTAGTGGTGCAATCTCAGCTCACAGCAACCTCCGCATCCTGCGTTCAAGTGATTCTCCTGTCTCAGCCTCCCAAGTAGCTGGGATTACAGGCATGCACCATCAAACTTGGCTAATTTTTGTACTTTTAGTAGAGACGCGGTTTCACCATGTTGGCTAGGCTGGTCTCAAACTCCTGACCTCAAGTGATCCATCCGCCTTGGCCTCCCAAAGTGCTGGAATTAGAGGCGTGAGCCAGTGTGCCCAGCCTGTTTTCAGTTGGAAGAGGATTAGTTTGAGAGAGTATCTGGAACTATCTCCTTCCTGGGCCAGGGGTCATCTTCTCATTCTTCAATTACCTGACTGTTCCCTAAAGAAGCTGACATTTATGGGCCTTAAGTCTAAAACAAGCACACACAATCTGATTATAATACTTGAATCCCACTTCACATGAAATAGAGGGTTACTTCAAGTAACGCCTGGTGGCAAAGGCCCTGCCCTGGGCTCTGAGTTGGTGGCTTCTCCTCCACCCTGATCAGACCCAACAGAGAAGCAGAAAATCAGTTTTCCAACCACGACAGAGGGTATTTCCAAGAATTAAGCATCTTAAAGAAGAACTTCATCTGATATTTTCTATGCTGAGGACTATAAATACAATTTTTGTGTAAACTTTGATACATGTTTTCTGCTGAAAGACTATATGAGTTCTAGTTCTGAAAATCCTAATAATTAATACCAATAGCAGCACAGTAGTAGCAGCAACTAACACATAGTACTTATTAGTACTTATGCTGTGCCAGGCATTGTCCTAAGCATTTACATATACAAATTAACTAATTCACTGACAATGATAACTTCCACTTCTTTCATCTGAACAAAGCTATTCACAGTATCTTTTACAATCTAAACCACAGTCTCCCTCGTACACTTGATAACAGTGATGTTAATAAGTTTTGGACTTCACCATGTTCCTGGAATTGGGCTCTCTTCTCTCATTTCCATAAAAGCACGTTAAACAAGACAGGAAATGCATTATGAGTGATTTTAAGTGATTGCTTAAGTAACTTAATTAATAGCTGCATTCTACACCCTAAATTGTTACCAGGACTAAATGATTTACCTCCTGAAATGTCATGGCATCTTCTAAGGGTGCTGGATTGTTTTTTTTTTTTTCTTCCTAGGCCTTGCCGTTTCACCTCCATCTACCTATCTTGCTTTTCTCTTAGTCCAGCTCAGTAGGCTTCTCCAGCCCTGTCCCACCTCCCGCTGTCAGTGTTGATTTGCCCGGATTTAGATCAGATCCCTGGTAAAAACAGATCTCCTCAGTGGGCATCATTCTTCAAAATTCAAATGACCTCTCCCCATTGTCACATGCAGTCTAATCTGGGAAGACTAAGTGCTGCTTTTCTTTTTCTAAAAATTCCCTCAGGCCCCTTACTCTTCTAAAATTCTCCCATTCTGTCACCTCTGTAGGTCCTAATGTGGCCAAGATTATTAAGCCTCCAGTACAGAAGAAGCAGCTCTAGGCTGTAGGGCAGGAAGAGTTAACACTGTTATAATACCGCTTTTCCTGCTTCAGATGGAAAAGGAGGGGGTGGTTCCTGGCAGCCGTGGTGCCAACTGAAGCATGGCATGCGAGATCAACAAATGGGATGGCAGATTGCACCGTCTGCAGCACCAAACTTCCAGCAACTGCTATCTCTGCTTACTGTTTTTGTCCTGTTTTTCAGGGTTGGCTATGGTACTTCTTCTTTTCTTTTTTTCCCCACCTTTCTTAAATATATTCTACATGGATCTAGGGAGCATGGAAGAGGCCAAAATAGAAGCCGACTCACAGGAGGTCAGCAGAGGTAGTGTTTTCTTATCTCCATGCAAGGGCTTGTCTTGACTCGTCTGGAATCCTGAAGGAGGCTGAGCGAGACAGCTTTCCACGGCCCCTCTCCTCACCATGGGTGGCCTCTGCTCCCAAACTGTGCACTCCAAGGTCCTCCCAACCGAACCAAGGTCTGCGCTGGGCGGGATCATGAAGAGATTATCTACTGTTCCACAGCCCGAGCCATCTCAAGTCTATAAAATATTACTTAATATTCTATAAAGATCTGTAAAAATTAAACCAAGGCCAAACTCATCTATTTAGAGAGAGCACCAATTCCACAGCAGAAACGATTTCATCAATATGCAGCTCTCCTTTGAGCCACAGATTCTCTCCTTTATTCTTAGACAATATC